GCTAGGAAAGTTGGTTCACATCTTGCACATTTATAAATCTACCATTTGTCTGTGCATTGAATACTGTTGCCATATATGGTCTGGATCTCCTACTCCTATATAGGTCAAGATTCTTGACAAAATCCTAAGAAGGGTCTGAGATTTAACTGATCCTCATTTGGTTTCTCAACTTTAGTCACTTTCTTACAGACGTGACATCGCTTCCTTCTATGTTTTCTACAAATATTTTCACAGCAATTGTTCTAATAAGCTTTCCTATTTTGATACCTAGACTGCATGAACTTAAGAGTGTTCCTAGATTGGCAACTAGGTCTCACTGGTTTTTTTTTTGTGTACTTCTTGTCTCTCGAAATCTCTTCCACTTTCTTACTTTCCTGCCATATACAATCTTCAAAAATGTAAATGTACTGTCAATCACCATCTTCTGTCTTCCTGGAACCTGTTCTTTTATTGTCCTTTCTCCTCACTAATGTCTTCTCAATCTCTTTCACTACTAGTAACCCCTTATAACTTTTTCTCCTTGATACTATGATTACATAAAGTTAAGTGTGCTCTTAGATTGAAAACTAGGTCACACTGTTTTACTGTAGAACTAGCTAGATGCAATCATAAGTTCTATTCTGATAATTTCTTTTCTTGCACTTCTGGTCTATGGAACTCCCTTCCAATTTCTTACTTTCCTGTTACCTACGATCTTCAAAAATTTAAATACAATGCCAATTTTCTGTCTTCTTGAACCCTGTTCATTTATTGTTTTTTCAACTCATTTCTCCTCACTCTCTTTCTCTCCTAGTAAACTCTTGTATCCTAGTGGCATTATCACCTTGCTTGGGGAGAAAGGATAAAAATAAAATAAATAAAAATGGAAAAAGAGTGAGGAATTATCTACAGAAAAATTTGGCAGGAGGAGGAGATAAGCTTTCCCGTTCCATCTGTAATGCTGCTTATTCAATATAGCCAATATGTGCAGAAAATACAGATTAGAATTACTGATTGCTGCTTATTTTTAATGTCCTAAATATAAAAGATTCCTTGATATAAACTATTTATTAAAGTGTAACGGAACATAAACAAAATGAGATTAAGATAGTAAATATCTATTTCTAACATTAAATATTGCAAGTTGACACTATAACAAATAAATAGTATGAAAATAATGCACATTTGTTTGCTAAAGTCCTGAACATTTGCAGGCAAATTTAAAAAGATGATATCCAACCTAAGAAAACTACAATTAAAATGAGCTTTGTGAAACATGAATGCAAGCAAAATAAAAAATGCAAGAAATAGTCAAGTATAATGATCTATGAAAATATTTAAATATTTACTCAGCTTAATTTGACACAAAGCTACAGCTGTAGAGCAACTGATAAGAAATGAATTCACTCTCAATGACAAGTGACAAAAGCTTATAAAACAAATTCATCACAAAGGATAACAAGATGGTTCCATCCTTAAACATTTATTGACTGTTACTACCTGCTGTTTGGTATCCAAGTAACAATCTTACAGAAAATCAGAAGAAAAATCTACAATCAATTTTCAAAGCATTTCTCTAGTCACGTATACAAAACTTTTTAAATGGATTCTTTTAATCCAACGTTATTTTTAATGGGTACGTGTTTGTGTTGGGTATACGTCCTTGTATTTTTATTTTCTTAAACAGTAAAATTTATGTCAACAGACCTAGATGAAAAAGATCCTACTAAAGAAAATATATATATATATATATATATATATATATATATATATATATATATATATATATATAAAGAAAAGAACATAGTAAGTAAGATATAAAATCCGGTGTTCTTATAGATATTTTCTTTTAACAAAATAGTGCTCAATATATATATATATATATATATATATATATATGTATGTATGTATGTATGTATGTATGTATCTCTCTCTATATATATATATATATATATATATATATATATATATATATATATATATATATATATATATTTTAATTTTTTAATTTTGTAGCTAGGAAGTTGTATTTCATTTATTTATATATATATATATATATATAACTGGTATTAATGTTTAGGCAATATATATGATACAAATGATGTTAATGCTTAAATGGTAAATGCTTATATATACACATGCTCTCACACACTATATATATATATATATATATATATATATATATATATATATATATATATATAACTAGTGCATAAATAGTGAAGTTATTTAATTTTTAAATATCATTTTGTGTGTGTGTGTGTGTGTATATATATATATATATATATATATATATATATATATTTTTAAAAACAAGGAATGCATTGATTTTAATTTTAAAAGTCTCTAGGGCCCTTTCAGCCAACATCTCATCAGGAGACAGATTAGCAAAAAGAATATAAACGATATTGAAGATCAAAAAAGAGGGGGAAACACACTAAAATAACAAACAAGTATATATACTTGTAACGAGGGAAGGAAAAGAATCGTGTAAATAAATTAGCGAGGACAGTTAAAATAA